GTGGATGGTTTCTAACTAAGAAGTGTAAAATTTTTATTATTTTAGATGGTTATTTATACGTATACGATTTGGATGATTATTATACGTAATACGGTTAGAGGTAAATGTAAGTTCTAGTTTTTTTTTCTGAGGAAATAAAAAATGACTTATTAACTCTAATATCATGCATATATTTAATTTATTGCCTGGAAAAAATAAACTGCAGTGGATGGTTTTTATTTAAGAAACGTAAAATTTTTATTATTTTAGATGGTTATTTATACGTATACGATTTGGATGATTATTATACGTAATACGGTTAGAGGTAAATGTAAGTTCTAGTTTTTTTTCCTGAAGAAATAAAGAATGACTTATAAACTCTAATAACATGCATATATTTTAATTATTGCTTGGAAAAAATGAACTGCAGTGGATGGTTTCTAACTAAGAAACGTAAAATTTTTATTATTTTAGATGATTATTTATACGTATACGATTTAGTTGATTATTATACGTAATACGGTTAGAGGTAAATGTAAGTTCTAGTTTTTTTTTCTTTCTGAAGAAATAAAAAATGACTTATTAACTCTAAAGCATGCATATATTTAAATTATTGCCTGGAAAAAATAAACTGCAGTGGATGGTTTGTAACTAAGAAACGTCAAATATTTAGTATTTTGGATGGTTATTTATACGTATACGATTTAGATGATTATTATACGTAATACGTATAGAGGTAAATGCAAGTTCTAGTTTTTTTTTCTGAAGAAATAAAAATGACTTATAAACTCTAATAACATGCATATATTTTAATTATTGCCTGAAAAAAATAAACTACAGTGGATGGTTTCTAACTAAGAAACGTCAAATTTTTATTATTTTGGATGGTTATTTATAGGTATACGATTTAGATGATTATTATACGTAATACGTATAGAGGTAAATGTAAGTAGTCTGCAAAATAATTTTTAATTTAAAGAAAATGCGCTTGAGCGGAAAGCATAAAATACTTCAATAATTCTCATTTATTGTGCTCAAAACTTTTTTGTTGTCAACCCTATTAGTTCAGACGGACATGGGGGCTATTATTTCTTTTTTTTTCAGGAACAGTGTGAAAATAAGCATCAAATTGCACGTCTATAAAATATAAATGTATATACGATTGCACAAAAACTATGCTTTAAAACTTTCAGGCGACAACTTCCTCATTCGAATGAAATTATAAGATGTCGAATTCCCTGATGGAATCGTTCCATGTCCGTAAATTGATTGTCGAGAGAAGAAACTGATTGTGTAAAAGCTATTACACTCGCACTCTCTGGGGATCTTCCCTGTCAGAGGGGAGGGAAAATGCTAGAATTGTAGGGAAGAATAGGCGTAAACGAGACAATTTCGGTGTGTAAATTGCATTAGAACCACGCCTAACAGAGAATTGTTTGATTTTCAATTGAATGATTCTTTTCTTTTTTTCAATTCTCGCGTATAAACTTTACAACTTTCAAACATTTGATATTCATTATAAAATAATAGAGTTAGTGAAATTTATTTAATCCTTTATGTGACCTTTTTTTTCTGATAATGTTATGTTCAAATATCTTTTTGAATTTGAGGTTGAGAAATAAAAAAAAAAAAATTAATTTAGCTTAATTAAATTGATTTTTTAAGAAAACATTCAGCTTAATATCTAGTATTAAATTGAATTTATTCTACAATTAAATTTTGGAGGGATAAGGTTTGAAAGATGGCAAGGATTTTCAAAGTTTTATCTTTTGTAAGGAATTGGTCATAAACATAAATTTTTGTGCTTATAAATAACCGAATTTATGTATAACTACTAATAAACTCGGTGAAAAATTATCAAATTACAAATGCATAATAATCAAATTACACTAGGGAAAAAAGCCGTCTTCTTGACCATATGCTAACTATTACTGTTATCAACTTTTATCTAAACTAAATTCTGTTTTTTTTCTTTTGTATTTCGACAGCAGATGGAGCCACACAAATTATAGGTGTGACGTATACTTCTCAAGACTCTATGAAGCTTTAAACTGAGAGGCAGCATCATCATAAAAATTACTTACTTACATAGTTTTTATACTTACTTTTTATAATACATTCTATATAATGCGTTTATTAAAAGACAGTTGAAAATAACTTCTTTGAAGTTAAATATATTTTTCTTCATCACAAGCGGAACAGCCCCTTGTAAATCATAACTCTCTCAACCTCGCTTTCTTTTATAAATTACAAACTTTCTCCAATTTTTAATTTTCAAAAATGTTAAGTAATCCAACTTTTTGTTTGTGGTCTTCCTTTAACTTGGAATTTGGAAAGACTTTTTTTAATCCTTAAAATTTAAGTGGAATTATCAACCAAGCTTCTTCAAACTTTCAATAACTTGCAGTATGTTATTTGTAGTATGTCTAGAAAACTCGTACAGTTCAAAATTGCACTGATAATTGTTTTTCAAACATATCTAGAGCTGAATGTTTTTATTTAAGGTCCATGTTTCACAGGCATGCCTTATGCCGCAAGAAATATAAAGAGTGGCAACAAAATAATCAGTCTCTGATAAAGTAAAAAATGGAATGCTTTTATTTATAAGTTAGACAATCGCTTTGACATTGTAAACAATTCTTTTTGACAATGTACTTCGACATTGCACACATTACAAATGCACTCAAAGTTATAAAAATACCTGAAGTAAGGGAATTTTTGATTTCATAACGGGAAGAAAAGGTTCGATGATAACAGGCATTGACTAAGTGCTAGCTAAAATGGAGCAGATATCAGCTATGAAAGAAGCTTGAAAAAAAAACGATTACCGAAGGAAAGTATGAGAAAAAAAATAAAGCAACTGTTACATTCACATCATCTGAAGATGATACAGATGAAAGCTGTAGCACAGAGAAGAAAAATAGTTCCGAAAAAGACTTTTTATGTTCAACATTTCAGTCAAAAAAAAAGGACGATTTAATATCTTGACAATCTCCTGCAATCATCCTCTGATCGAACAAAGATATCAGATCGCAAAGAAGTAATTGTCATCGCAGAAACTGCCATGAGCCTGGGTCACATCCTTGGAGATTTGGCTATAAATAGATCTTCTAAGATTAAGAAATGAGCGTCGACTCCAATTATTTTTCATTCTTAAAAAAGAATTTAAAAGACAAGTTCTTTTAACTGTGCGCTGAAATGGTTAACTTTTACCGGAACTAACAGGGAAAGAAAAAGTAGATCGTTTATCTATTGTAGCTTCTAGAAGCGAAGTACTTCCTGTAGCTACAATACCATCTGGAACTGGAGAAATTGCGACTGAACTGTTCTATCTGCTGTTTGCGAAGCCATACGCAATCTGGATATTACGAATGTTTTGACAGAGCAAGCTCAAACACAGCTCAAAACAAAAGCTCTTGTGCTTTCCATAAAGAAAAAAAAACTTGAAAAGTATTTATGTACTTCGCAAGTTGCCATTACATTATAAAACTTGTTATTCGGTCAGTTTTTGATATAATTTTGGGACCAAGTTCAGCTCCTGACGCTGCAATATTTAAACGATTTCAAATTTCATGGAGCTTTATTGATGGAGAAAGTTTTTGAACTGGAATGAATAATGAAACAGTTCCGGATTCTGTAATTGATATCAAAGACACTATGCTGACTATACTTACTGGACTAAGCACTTGACATACTGACTATAACTTGACATGCTGATTATGCACTTGACTATACTTACTGCACTTGACTTTGACTGTAAGTGACTATAAAGAATTTTTTTATTCAGTTACTATATTTCTTGGAGGAACTTCTCCTCAAAATGCAAGATTTTTGGCAGCAATAGCTGTTCATTATGTTCGCTGGGTGTCTAAATTTCTTTCTAGTATGAAAATGTCAATGTTTAAATCTTAATTCAAGCTCATTATCAGGAAGAGAAGCATTTACGCAACATGTCTAGATTATTAGTATAGTATACGATAAAGTCTGAATATCTCCTCCGATCACATCTGATCCAACTTATAACATTTTTCAGCTGCTGAAAATACTTATAGATTATTTGGCATTGAATACCAAAAGCTGCATCTCAAAAACCACTAAAGCATATTTGAAGATCTCACAGCATTAGCCGTATTTGACAGTAACGTGCCTGTTTTTAATAAACGACTTATGAAGGCTATGAAAGAAGTAAACAGTGAAAATGATCCTGCAAAACGTGTTTCCTTGTATTTGAATCTTTCAGAGAAAAAAAAAAGCTTGGAGATTTTGTGACTGAAAGATCAGTTGCATTGTTTAAACAAACGGAACGTCCATGTGAATTCGTTGAAGTTAATCCAATTGCATAGAGAGATATAAAAGATTTCCATCAATTTTTCAAACTTATAAAATTTATGGCAGTTATAAATGTGGTATTGTTCTTATTCAAGATTTCAGTGAATTATTAACGAAAAATGAGTCTGAAGTTAAATTCCTATTACAAGTGCTTGAGGACCACAGATCCAGACAGAAGTAAACATACACAATTGACCCCAGGTTCATCAATGTAAGAATATAATTTGATTTTCAATAAATAATAATTTGCTTACACTTTTTCAAGCTGATTGAGCAATCGCTATTTTAAATATTTTATACTGAAACTTGAACACACACACACAGATATATATATATATGAACACCACGAAAAACGTGTGCGTAGCGTGTTTCTGAGGATGAAATAATTTTCTTCTTAGCGATTTTTCTTCTATCCAAGTACAACTCGTTTTATAATAAGACTTATGATTGTTATAAGTGGATATACACATCTCACTACTAAACATTGACATTATTATTGCATAATCCTTAAATACATTTAAGACAAGAATGCATTGTTTTTAAAAACAACAGCTAATAAATAAATAAATGAGTTTCCAGAGTTATCGTTCTGAAAATAAGCACAGGTCCTCAAAAAGAGTTATTGACGAATAACAGATGAACGAAAGTGATAAAAGAAAATAAGTTTATTAATAATAAAAAGAGACACTCACCTTTAACTTTCCGGGGAGGGCAATTTTATCGATTCTCTCTACTCTGGCTCCTCCGTTGCCCCTTTGCCCCACTTCTTGAGGGTATTCAGCGAAACCTCCCATGGGATGCCGCTCCCCGTGAGTCACTACATTCCCATAATGGTATTGAGTGTGAGGTTTGGTGGCCTTAAAGGGTACTCTACCCATTCCACCGTCGCTCCACGCCGTTCTATACCTGTGAATAGATGAAAGAACAGTTAAAGAAACAGGTATTTAATTGTAACTGTCATAAAAATTTCACTGCAATAAACCGATACTTGTTACAAATGCTACATATCATTGAGACATAGTACAGGGTAATTGAAAACTGAAGGTACTAACTTAAGGAACTAATGAAACCAAAAAGAACTTAAGGAACTAAAGGAGCTTTAAGAAAGGAACAAACTAAACTAAAGGAACCAGTGGAGTACACATAAATGACTGCAAAAAGCAATGCAGGGTCAAAGATGTAGTTCTAACTACGCAGGAGGTTGTTACGACTTTTCGCACTGGTCTTAGATTATGGAATCTAATCTATGAATTCAGTGTGATCGAAAAACATTTTACCCTTTACAACCGGATGTAATCTGAATAAGCAGAGGATCACTTTATATATATATATNATATATATAAATAAAAGTGATCGTAAAATTTACAGAATCGAAAGCCCTATGGTCGGTCCCTGAGCAGTACCATGGCTGCAAGGATCTGGAGGTATTTTCTTTCCCCTTAAGGATTATGCCTAAATCGAAAGAGGTCTCACACATGAATGGTGCTGCCATCTATATGTGAGGTTATGAGATAAGATGCACTTTTATTTTTGCGGTGGTCTCTCGTCAAACGAAAAGTGCACTTCCCGACTTATTCTCAAAAAACTAATGGATGGCTAGTTTGGCTCGTCCAAGTGTCATTAAAAACACCAATAAGCATTTATATGTTTGAAAACATCAAATTGTCACATTTCTAAACTTTCAAGTAATATCTTAAGTAAAGAAATGTTTGCAAGCATTAATATAAACTTGACCTTAATATGCGATACGCATGATATGAAACTTCATCTAATTTCATTATCAAGAAAATCATGTTTTTTTTCTTCTTTTTTGTACTTATGATATTTTTTTGTAACTTTTGGACCACAATGAATTCGCTTGTTTCTATCCTAACATCTATTAGGTAGTTCTTATGGTGTCCTTTTTTAAGGTGGTGATTAAATTACACCACTTTAAAAAGGTGACTTTAAAATTTTTGAATCACATTTTAAAGTGATATATATATATATATATATTTAATTACTAAAAAAAACTAAAAACTTCAATTCTTTCAAAATTATTTTAAACTTTCCGAGGAAGACTCAATAAAACATTTTGGTATACTTATTAAATGATACGACAGCATAAAAATTCAAAAGAATACAAGTTTAATTTCTTGAATGCTTCTTAAATCATAAAAGCACAAAAATACAGAATGTATTTTTAATTTTTCGTATACCTATTAAATGATGCAACAGCGCAAAAATTAAAAGAAAAGGCGCATATTTGTTTCATAATATGTATTAAAAAATGAAGCAGCGCAAAATTCAAGAGAGTCCAAGTATTTTCAAACTTGAGAATTTATAAATGTATACATTCTTTTAAATTTTTGAGCCATTTAATTTTGTGTGTGTACCTATTAAATGAAAAGCAGCACAAAAATCCTGGGGAAAACATGCATTTTTTATTTTTTGTATTAAATTTTCAAAATACCACCACACTAAACTCCAAACTAATGCATGCCTTCATTCAATTTTAGAAGATGTTTCAAACCCGCTTAAAAATTAATTCCAATTATTTTCTAAACGTTCGCAAAGTTAGACGATTCCATGGAGTAAGAGGTACAGATAGCCATTTAAAGCCATATTCTAACACGATCCCCGCCTCCGAACAAGTCAATAAAGTTGTGAGCAGAAACGCACATTCTGGGACACATTCATTATTGGGACATTTCAGGCTGGTCTAATTAAGGCCATTTAGGGCATTTCAGGCGTGCATTTCGCATTCCTTCCGTCATCTGAGCAACGTGATCCAATGGTTTATTCGTAGTAGTTGTTAGATATAAACAAAAGAGGTGCCATAAACCGTGACATAACATTATATTCAAGTGAGGTTGTTGCAGATATGTTGAGGATAACTTGAGGTTTAAATTTTATCTATTAATTGTATGTAATGGAAAATAAACGTTTCCATTTGTTTGAGTGATATAAATATTAATTATCAATTACTTAAATGCAAGAATATAAACAAAAAAATGAGCATTAAATCATGCCATAAAATTGTATGAAATTGAGGTTATTACATACTATTAAGAATTACTTGAGGTTTAATCAGTATCTTATTACAGTCCTACCTCGCTAAACTGGAACCTCGATTTCACGAATTTTTCGATATCTCGAAGAAGACAAAAATTCCCTTCAAATTTCCTATACACTCAATGTTAAAAAAAACCTTGATTTCTCGAATTTATTTTTCTAATCCCTCGATAACTTGAATTTTTTTCCATAAATAGTGTAGATTTTTTTTCTAAAATTAAAAAAATATTCCAAAAAAAATAAAAAATTTTAAGAATGGCTGACAAGGCATGGAATGATGTGTCTTCCTCTACGATAATGAATGGCTTCAAGAAGTCTGGATTCATTAAAGATCACGAAAGTAGTCAAACAATCAATATCGTTAATTCTGCTGAAAACTACACCGAAAATGATTGGAACAGATTGACCGGACTCATGAAGCTTGATGACATGGAATTTCATGACTTTGTAAACGTAGATGATGCAGTAACAGTGTGTGGTCAGTGGGATGACAATGATATCATCGCTCAAACGAAAGCTTCTTGTGAACTATCAGAAGAAGAGGATGAGGAAATCGAAGATTTACCGCCCAATGTTACTAACAAACAAGCACTTTCTGCAGTGGACACTGTAAGGAGATTTATTGAGAGGCAGCCGAATATGTCAGAGGAGACATTTAAAGCTATAGTCCACTTAGAAAGTGTTATAGACAAACTTTCTTACACATCTCTAAAGCAAACAACAGTTGAATCTTTTTAAGAGTAAAAAGTGTTTTTAGAATAAATATGGAATAGTAAATAAGGTATGTAAAGAGCATTTTCTTTATTCTACCATCGATAGCATGCAATTTTCGATAATTCGAATTTTCGATATCTCGAATTTTTCTCCTTTCCCTTCAAGTTCGAGATATCGAGGTTTGACTGTATATGCAATAGATAAACGTTATGTGTTGTTTAAGTAATGAAGCATATTGATTTATAAAACAATTACTTTATAATTTATTTAAAAACTACTAAAGCTGGTATGCCATAGGAAACTTAAACTGTAACGAGTGGTGACTAGTAAAAAGCTAAAATCTATTAAGTAAATTTAAAATTAGCATATTTTCTTGTATATTCTTTCAGTTTACTATTGAAAATTATTAAAGAATGTTTTTGCTTTGGATATGAATAATTTACAACGTTTGTCATGGTGGTAGGTATGATTCAATAATTAAATAGACTGAATAAATTCAAATAAATTGAGCTTCTGTCACATCTTGCATTTTTAGTCGAGTTTGGAATCACTGCTAGAGACTTAAATGTGATGCTTTGCTAACTTAAGAAGTAAACTTTACAATTAAAAATTTAATCAATAACTTCACTCAATAGCTTTAATTTAATTTAGCCAAAACTAAAAAAACATTGCCATCGATTGACCTGCCAGCTTCTTCGGCTTTAATCACTTGGGGACGGGTGATTCAGAAAAGCATTCGTACTAAATCAGAATCAAGTTGTAATTAAATAAAAAACGGTAACTTAAATGTAGACGTTGCTAATTTTACAGACTTACTTTGCTTTTACTTTAATTATTGTTAGTTTAATCATATATATATAATCAATGTTAATTCAAAGTATAACTAAATAGTTTTATTTTGAACAAAATTTGGTGCAATAAATGAATCAAACAATTATAACTCCGCCCACAAATAAACTGCTAAAGAATTACTTTGATTACCAGTTTTATATTTTTACCCTGATTGATACGGTTTTATGCTGTCACGTATTTGTGACAGTCGGCGCGAAAAGGTTAAGCTGGATATTTTTCCTAAATATATAAAGTACTTGCAGAATATCTGTTTAAACATTTGATTTAAAAAGATTTTAACGACTACAATTTATTAATATTTAAGAAATACGTACATGAAATGTTGCCATAGCCAATGGTATTGTTTTTAAGCTATATAGTAATGTTTAAAACTTCTGCTTGTTCAATCATCATTTAACTACCACTTTAAATAATGTTGAGAGCTAGAACTTCCAAGTTGGCAGCTCTGCCATAGACCGTAGAATAAAGTCCTTAAGTTGTTACAGTTAATGAAGAAATCTTTCAAATTAATAACACTTAGGTCCACAAAATCAATTAATATGCTAGCGTAAACTAACGAAAATATGTTAGAGACATGATTTACGGTTCTTTTACATGAATGTTAGCACTTTGCACTCTGATCTGGACTATGAGAGGCCATCAACAGTGAGCACAATAATATTTATCCGGATTACAATTAGTAGCAAAATTATTTTACGAATTTTAAAAATGATATAAAAACATTGTATTATGGGTTTTAAATGTTTTCGTGTTGAGTGACAGAACTAGACACGTGTATGTAAAGGCCTTTAGTCAAACTAAAAAAATGTACAAATTTTAATATTATTAAATTAGAAAATACGATCGTGGATAATATGTTTGGAATACAGAAATAATGCATCAACTTTATGTTGTTTAAAGAAGGATAATTGCCGAAAAGGGATGGAAGCTTTAGAAGTGAATACTTTTTTATATTTTAAATTGTTCATAATACAAATAAAACCTTTAGTTGAACTACAAAAATTAAGTTTTAACAACATTCAATTAGAAAATACGATCGTGGATAATATGTTTGGAATACAGAAATAATGAATCAACTTTATTTTGTTTAAAGAAGGATAATTGCCGAACAAGGGATGGAAGCTTTAGAAGTGAATACTTTTTTATATTTTAAATTGTTCATAATACAAGTAAAACCTTTAATTGAACTACAAAAATTTGCAAATTTTAGCAACATTCAATTAGAAAATACGATTGTAGATAATATGCTTAGAATACAGAAATAATGTATCAATTTTATGTTGTTT